TGCCCGAACTTTTTGCTCTAAGAATCGATTTGCAATCTTGATGAGAATAGTTCTAAGGAGATTTTATTTTTTGCTGTCAATATTTTTCATCCTGAAAACAAATATTTCAAAGAAAAGAAAGAAAGAAATTTTCACGATATTTGTTTATTTCTTATTGCTCGAAACTGGCTTACTTTTTTTCGACACTGGAAGAAATTTTGCTTAGTTAATTAATTTGTTTTATGGAAATTCATAACAGCCGAGTGGATGTGCTCAAATTATCGTGTTTAGAAGCAAGGATCCTATCTGGCTCTTACCTCGTTAAGAATAAAATTGTCGTAAAAGAACCGGGTGTTGCCTGCTGGCAACCTTTATATTTCTGTCGTCAAATTCAAATAACTCCTCGGAAACAATTTTAAACGTATCAACCGTAATTTTTGTATTAATCAAGTTAATCAATATTTTGTATTTGTATTAATTTTGTTAATATTAATATTAATTTTGTATTAATCTTAACAAATGTTTTCATTTGATGGAAATTTAGTTGTTCAATATTTAAAATTTTAAGGAATTTCACTAATGAAATTCAGTTCAATCGAGTGCGTTACTACTTTTTACTACCTTTGAAGTAATATCGAGTAATCGATTCATCAAATTCCCTCCTAATGATGTTAATTTATCTCAATTTATAGCGAAAGAAAAAATAAGTAAGCGAAGAAAAATTCAAATTAAATTTTTTCATTAAGTAGCTTTCTTAAATAAAATCATTTAGAGAAAAAGCTTAGAAAAGATAAATAGGGAAGCAAAATGCAAATAAAACAGCGATGCATATCCTCGAGGATGTGTATGTATACTGGACAACCGAAGATTTTTGATTTAAATAAAAATAAATCGCATCTTTTTTCTCATCTTTACTCAATCGCATCTTTATTCAAGAAAGGAGCGCTTTTATTTGAAGCATTTATTACCAGTGAACTATGGTAACTGCAATTCCTGAATATATGATTATACATATGATTGTAAATATATAGCGTTGACCATTCTTAGCTTCTCTGGCGCCGCTGGCTATTGTACGATTCGAAATTTTTGCCCGGGAATCATTTAGAAAGAAGTATAAATAAGTTACCAACCCAGATTATTCAGCGACATGCGTGCCAGAGTAAGGAATCGGATCACCAAATCGGAGCTATGATGCTCGACGAGAAATCAAAGTAACCATGCCATTCGACCACCTTTACCCTTATACCCTTTTCTCTATTGATCTATTAGCTGAGCACTTTTGCGCAATCCACCAACTTCCTTTAAAAATAATTTTATCTATGAATTTGATTAATTAATCATTTAATCGGCTTAATTCTGATTAAACATAAAATTTTTTAATTAATTGAACTCTTGAACATGCATATCCTTATACTTCTTCCATCATGTATGGATGCTTCACACAAGTTGGATCGTAGTTCACTTATTTATAAAGAAGCTTATTTATTTACAATATTTCTAACCGAATTTTCTAGATTTTATTTTATTTCTCATTTCTTGTGCTATTTTTTTCAAATTGATAATTAATTTAATTCAATGTTGATAAATTTTTTGTCCATTTAAAATATATTCGGAATTACTTTGTAAATCCACCAAATATCCCTTTTTTATTCGGTTTTTTTCAATTTACTTCTTTTCATTTTCAATTTTCATTTTTATTAAATTTTTGCTTTTTATTTCAGACAAATTCAAATTTTTTACCCTCTTTTTACTTTTTTACTTTTTTTACCTTACTTTATTTACTTTTTTTGATATTTTTGAAATTTGCAATATTTTCAAATTTTTTATTACAGAAGATTTTTTAAAAAATGGTTTATTAAAAATTATTTTTAGATGAAAGAATATTTCAAGCATTGCCCATATTTCTATTTGGATTTTACTAATTTTTTTAATTTTCTTTATTCACTTGAAAATATATTTAAATTAAAATTGTGCGCTTTGCCAATTTCCTGGAAATAATTTTATTCAGCAATATTTTTCATCAAAATCGCATTATTTTCTTTAATCTTAGGATTAGATTTTTATAAATTGTTTAATTTTATGCAAAAGTCGAGAAAAAAGTCTCGTAAGCAAGATTTTTTCGAAGATTTCGAATTTAGCTGTACTTTATTCAAATCGATTTTTAATGCATTTACTTAAGTTTATTAAAATAAAAAGTGGCATCGATGCAACTTATGTTTCATTTATTATTTACCTGCTTTAAGTATAAGTAGGTAATTAGGTGATTGGTTAGCAATCTCTCACAATTTCTAATTAGACTTCAATTGTACAATTAGCTGTACAATTAGAAATAGGGTAAAGGCACCACTTGACTCTACTGTATGTGATCGCTAGCATACTGTCTGATTTAAATGGGCTGAAGCATTATGGATTCAGTCGCCATAAAAATGAACCTGCTATTAAAAGTGAAATCCGATTAACACTTGTAACACTAGGCATCAGCCTATCATCCATCTATCCTTCTCCAAAGGAAAAGAATATTTAGTTTTTAGCTTAATATAAATATTTATAAAACTTAAATTTTTGATTTATTCGTTGATCTGTTGCGAAGAATATACTCTTTTTAAAACTCATTCGATTTGTTGGTCCCCTTTTAGAAGTGTTTGTAATATTAGAACAAATAAGAATAATAACTAACGTGTCCTACATTGCATCTGATTGACTGATTAATTTCACAAACTTAAACTAAAAGAATTTTAAGATTTTGCTGGATTTTAACTGAGCATGCTTGGTTTGAATAAAGCTTTCAAATTCGTTGGCTTATTTCCTTATTTCCTTAATTAATTTTTGAATTATTTTCTATACCTATAATTTTGATATATCTTTATTTCATTCTCAGAATTTCGTAAATCAGTGATTTGTCACAAAATGAATGTTTATTAATTGATAAGGTTTCCATTAAAGCAATTAATGTTTTTCCGTTAGTTACGTTTTTCTGTAATAAATGAACTGCTATCATCTTTTTCCTTCTTTGTTCTTCTTAATAGTTGTACGACTTATTTCTTGCTAGGATTCAATAATTGTCTGAACTTCGATTGAATTAGTCGAAAATGTAATGTAAACCTGGGTATAGGTTTATTGTTTTAACATCATTTGTTCATGAAAAAAATTTGTTAATCTTAATGGTTTTTGTTCGTTGTTCAATTTTTTATTCTTATTTTTGCCACTAATGAACAATGACTGAATAATCCCGCTGTACTAAGGATCAATCTGTAGTTTTATCACAAAATAAGAAAAATCTCTGACATCAAAACCGTACAATTTCTAACCGTACTATTAGCTGATGGAGCCAGCTCAACCAATAATATTATGCACTAGCCAATTAATTAAATGCACTGAAACGCCCAATTTCCATAGTATTGAAGCCTGTGGCAGCAAAAAAATAATTTTTTATAAATTTTCTCATAGTTTTCATAGTTTTAGACACTTCAATGCGTTGAATTGTTGTTGAATTTGTTATCAATTACCTGAAATTATTTATCACGGCAGTTCAATATAATATAATAGTTTTTTTGAATATAATAGTTAGAAAAATTAAATTTAAAGAAATATTTGCAAGAAAAGAGACTTTTAATAAATTCGAATTTGTCGGCATGAGGATGTAAAATGCATCGAACATAATTAATGCGCTAAATGAATCTTTCCACTTCATTCGTAATTTTCAGATTTTTTTAAAATTCCTTTTTTTTAGCTCGAATAAAAATAATTTCAAAATAATTTTCAGCTAAGGCTTAGAAAAAAAGTTGGACCAGTGAAGATGGCAAAAAATTAATGAAATACTTATCGGATTTACTGCAAATATTTATTTCTATTTTTCGTGTATTTAATATTTTTAATTTAAGAATCAAATAATTAATCCTTTTCGTACGCAAATTTAATGCTTTTCTTATAGTATAAAAATGAATGAAAAAATTCAATGTAATGAATGAACAATTAGTGAGCACATGGAAATGACATTTATCGAAAAATTAATTTGTAAGGCAGATGAATTTATATAAAAATTTTTATAAAGAAAAAACGGCATTGGATTAGCGATATGAGAATTATCATTATTGGTTCGATGAAATTGTTGTTCAACAAGAATTTCCCAAAGAGGCAACAATTACCAACCAACGCCGATTCAAATTTTGCGAACTTCCTAGTCGAACTGTAATTAACTGATTTATGAATGTGTAATGCTTATATATTTATGCTCGAACTATGAATATTTGTTTGTTGAATATTTATGATTTGTATTGAATAAAATCTTAAATTACTATATTAAAATTTAGCGAATTGAAGATAATGAATTATGCGAAAACTGCGATCAATTGATTTGATTTTCCATGGTTTCATTAAATAACGTGGTTTTTCATGAAAAAATGCGATAATTAGTTTAAAAATTGGTTTCCGTTCAGAGTTGTTGCTTGGATTACCATTTCGAGCATTGCGATTCGGCTTCTAACATAAGTTCCAAGGCACCCAGCTGCACTTTTATCCTCATTGACCGCTTCTGACACGAATGGTTATTCCATTAATAGCCAACAGATATGCCTAGCAAGAAATGGTGGGTGTTAGGCGCTTATTTAGTTATCAAATAGAACATGCAGAACTATACGCTTGTTTAGAAACAATGAATTTCGTGTTATATGGATAAATTTTAAATTAAATGGCTAAATATATTTTGTGCTCTTTTTTTTGCACGCTAGCATTTGAAATGTGTTCCTTATTATTTAGCTAAAGGAAAATCTCCAATAAATATAAAATTCAGTTTCATTAAAAATTTATTGTTTTTTTCCTATTTAACAGAGTAGAATTAAACTATTTTGGCTGAAGAAAATTTCGAAAATTTTCGTTTTTTTAAGCAAAGTGAACATAATGCCTATAAATAAGTAAAAACAATAGAAATATACCGATAGGTGGGAGTAAAAGTAAGAAAATAAACTATAATAATACGTAAATAGCCTGGTATTTTCACGTTTTTCCAATTATTCTCATTATCTCGCATTTTATTTTGCATTTATTCTTTTTCCAAATTTCTGTCGGCCAATTTATGGATATTTACTCGTAAATTTATTCGTATTAGTATTGCTGAGAATATGTTTATTATCATAAAAAATAGAAGGAAATATTGAAAATATCATATTTTTATAGGTTTTTAATTGGCTGGACGATGCGAAATAATGATTTAACTCGATTAGACAGCAATGTGAAAATAAACAATTCGATAGCTTTCGAAGGAATCCATGAAATGGAATGGTGTTTCGATATTGTCCTCTATTATAGTGTATATTGATTGGAATTTCTTTCCAGCAACTTAAGATTTGTTAAAAGATAATGATTCGAAAGATAATAATTCGAAATATTTGCGGAGACTCCCAACTAATAAGATCGTTCTCATAGAAATCACCATTTTTGGTTCGGCTTGACCTCCATTAAAGTGAGATCGCTTCAGCAGAGATTCACTTGGAAAATAAAAATAAATGGGTTCCTAACACCATCCATCCAATTTGTAAATACTAAATTCATGCCAGCTGAATACAAAAAAAATTGTGGAATGATTTCCATAACTTTTTTGTACCCGACAGTCAGTGTGGAGAATGAATTTAAAATGGCTTAAAAAAAAATAAGGCATTATTTCCATTATAAGAGCTTTTAGAGTATCGGTGATGAACAATCGCAAGCAATTTTGCAGCAACTTTCTGATTATTCTCGATTCAGTTTCGCAATTAATGGAATCCTAACATGTCTAATAGCAGTTTTTGGCTTAAATGGAAATGTTTTCCTCTTATGGCAGGTTATCTTATTTTTATTTCCAGTATTATTCATTAATAAATTAGTTAAAATTAGCTCTTGTCATTACACTATTATTAATAAGTATCATCAAAGTGAGCATTTTACAAATGAGCAAGATTTACCTAAGATTTAATTAAAACAAATTCCGTTCCTTCATTTTTGTAAAATTCAATTTTATTGGGAGAGAGAGAGATTAAAGTTTTTAATATTAAAAAAATAACTTTTTCTAAAAACAGCACTTCTGGGTTTACACCAGGATTTCGCCGGAGCTTCAATGCAGAATAAAAATATAACTCGGACTTCACTTTAATGATAAATTCAAAAGATTCGAAACCATGTTTCTCGCTCTTCAGATGAACAACATATTATTTAGCCATACTGTCTCCCAAAAAATTGATTCACCGTAACTGATTTACTGATTAGCTGTGATAAATTTATAACCGAATAGATATTACACAACCGAAAAAAGCGACACCGCAATTTTTATAAGAAAATATTGATTAACTATGAAATTTCGTATCAATGAATTAACTTACAATAAAATTTTAGTAATGTTCTTAATGTAATCTTATTATAATATATTCCATAAATATCCCACAAGTAATTAAGTGAAACAAGTAGTTGGTACTCACCATTACTGGTAACGCCTTTGGTATAATGATAAACTTTCGCTAACAAATCTCAGATTTTTAAGATTTTTAACTCACAAGTTTATTCTAAAGAAGCAGCCCAAGGGAAATAGAAATGAATATACCTAATATGTTTTTTTCGCTATATACCAAAAAAATATATATTTTTAGCATGGTAAAATTTGAATTGCGCCGTATTTCGTGAAATTTTTTTTAAATTTTTGTATTCTTGATATCTATTTTCATAATCTGTTACTTCAAAATTTATACAACTTTTATTTTATCATTAATTCTTATTATTTGTTACTTTATTTGTTGTTATTAATATAAGCACTGGCGTTTGTCGCCCTGCTTGGCTGGTTTTCAATACATAAATAAATTTTAAATAGGCATTTAATTTTGTTATAAAGTCAGATTGTAAGCTACCTCCGGCAATTGCTAATTACTCAAACCACGTTAAGAGGAAAGAATTTGAGTTCTGGCCGCCAACAGCAATAAGCCTGCACTTAATGAATGGTGCTAATGATCCAATGATTCCACCTCTATTTGTACCACCAAATTTCTTTTCTGGCAAACATTTGATTTTTAATTGCATTAAAAGCCACTAGAGCTAGCCTTTAATTATTTTAATTACTAATTTTATTTTGGAACTAATTTTTCATTCTGCCTAATTTTCGGTCTTAATCTAATCTTTTAGGTCTTTTTTCTATTAATAGTTTTAATAAAATAAAATTATTTTTATAATTTTTGTAGATTCATCGCACTCGCTACTTTTCTCGTCGTTTGGCTTGTCATATAGCAATGTTGTGCGTTTGGGACATTACATTACTCTTATGTTGTGTTATGACCTACGGTATGGTTTCTTCTAATAGTCTTAACCTACTTGGACGAAATCTCTTCGATAGTAAGTAATAGAGAAATAAAATGGAGACTTTAGCACTATCTGAATTTTTATCTGTAATGGCAAATTTATCGGCTTATAGTTTGTAATAATTATGATATCTCCCATTTAATTATTGATGTAACTGTGACCAAGCATATTTAATCGTTCATCAGTATTTTTTTCACAAAATTTTTTTTTCAAAAACTCAAAGATTTTTGTTTTAAAGGAGTCATAGCACTTTATTATAAAATAACGCCAGTATCTGGTTTTGCTGCATATATCTTATATTTCTTCCAACCGTTAGCAAGCTTTTGCGTGACGGCTACAATATGGCAAGTTTTTGCTATGACCGTCGAAAGGTTATTAAATTATTAAATTTTTTATTTCTTATTATTTATTATTTCTCCCTTATTAGATGGAAAAAAGATTAGAAAAATCGGAATATGAATATAGTTCAATCGATCAGGCATGTTTCTGGGCTCTCTTTTTTATTCGTTTTTGCTACCATATATTACTGTGTACTTATGGCTTCCAATTGATCTTCAGTCATAGGAAGAGAACTCATTCCTAAACCCATTTTATGCCAAGAAATTAAGGTATTTGGCGGTAATGAAGCCGCTGGAGCAGCAGCTAACAGAAGCAAGATTTTCAATAAAATCAATATGTATATTTATTATTTCTGGTGCATTTATCTTAAATATAAGTATGGTGCCGTTCGAACGATACTTTACAACTTGTTATCAGTTTCTTAAAGGAGGTAATATTGTTTTTCAAACGATGGTTGTTCAATACGAGATCACTAATAATCCATTTTACGCCATATGTAAGTTAGTATTCTTTTTTTTTTTTTTTTTTTTTTAAAGCATTAGTTCTCACGTTGAATCCTCGAAACAGATATCGAGCTATAGAGATTCTTCGTGTTCTTTTAATAGCACGCATCATTCCTGGTCACCGAACAGTCAGTTTTTAATATAGATTATTGAACTTTGAAAAATCAAAAATCAGGTAAAATTATTTGAAATTCATGTTGATTTCTTTTAGAATACGAAAATTTTCTCAAAATCTATTTTTCCTTGTCGTTAAAAAAGTTTAAAAATAATCTTAAAGGTTTTTTGTGTGGAAATGATTAAAACGGAATGATTGAGTAAAATTAGTCGAAGAATTATAAAATAAATAAATCATCGGTTCTTATTTTAAATAATAAGAATTATGAAATTTTAGTCGTTCATTTGATTCCTGATTTAATATTTCGAGCACCTTTACCCATAATTTTAATCGCTGTATTAACGGCACGTACGTTGCATAAATGTCAACATCGACAAGTGGGAAATATTGTTGTCCATTTGAACCAACGTCGAAGCATTTCTTTCATGCTTACTGTGATTTTTCTTTTATTTAAATATGTAAATTATTAAATCTTAAGGAAATGAGGCAATAAATCTGAAATGAGGACAATTAGCCTTTTCATGATTTTTGAAAACCTATTCTGCTTACAAACGACAAGAATATAAAATTTTCAGTAGATATACTACTATTAATAATCAATCGAATATTGAGATATTGAGACGAAGGAGAAAATTTTATGGATTCAAATTTTTCTCGCCCTTAATCCAGAGAGATTTTATTCCTTTTAATTATTCATAAAATGTTCAAGTAAAACATCGGGTTCAACTAAAAAGCGGTGTAAAGCACAATAAGATAGAAATAACAGCAATTAATAATTACTATTTTTGAATTGGAATTATTAGGAATGAACTCTTTAGTCAGAAAATGAAACACTTAGAAATAGAACCACAGGTGCACAGCATTCACCCGTAAATAATAACGTTGAACTTTTAATAAAAATACATCTTTGAAAAATAAAATATTAAATTTAGACGCTAAATGTAAAGTTTATCTTATGTAATACATTATACATGATAAACACGGTATTGATTGAAGTATTAGGATATGGCGGAAAAACAAGGTATGTGGTTTTCATGAAATTTTAGGCCTATGTCTCAGTAATTGTTACATATAGGTTTTTCCACAATAAGATAGAAGTAACTTGCTTCCATTCCATCTTTTCAACTTGTAGAAATGATGTCTGACAGAAAAAAAGCGTAAGCTTTTTACTTTTTTATTTACTTTTTTTTCACACTTTTTCACTTTTTTTGGAATAGTTAATCTTCTAAGCGGAATGTGGAAAAACTAGAAGGTAAAAAGAGAAATATTCGAAATTTTTGTTCCAGTCAAAACGACCAGTATGTTCATTCACTTTATCTAACTGACCTATCGAATATGTTACTTGCCATACATTCGGCAACAAATTGGCTTTTGTTTTATCGATGGACTTCATGGAAAGAAGTAGGGCATTTTCCGTGCAAAAAAATAATTGCCAGAGCTAAGAATTAAGCTATGTGAAATTTTCTAAATTTTAATTTAGTTTAAATTGAGAAATGAAAAGATAAATATAAATGAATATAGTTATGGTTCGTTAAATATGCAGTATTTTACAATTCAGGAAGGGCAAAAAAATTATTATCCCGTTCATTCAGCTGAACAAATCGGTGGAAAAACTATTGAAGATATTCTAAATAAATTTTCTCCATGGAAACATACAGTTGGAAAAGAAATTATTGTTAAGGTAATGAGAAATTTTATAAACATAATTAAATTATGCCATAAATTATGCTACATCTTCCAAAAATATTCGCCATTCCTAGTTCCATTGACTACAAAGATGAGATATTAGTATCCAAGAGTTGCTTTGATATGGTAGATTTAGCACCACTCGAATTTCATTTTATTCCGATAACAGTTTTCAAGATGCAGAAATCAAACCTACGATGCTTGGCCCCAAACAAAATAAGAAAGAATTCGGCCTTATATAATCTAATTTCACTTAATTAATTTAAGAAAATTAAAAAACCTCTAATATTATGTTCTGCTGGGAAATTTGCGTACAATAAAATTCTGAAAAATTTTTAGAACAGAATAGAAATTCTTTTAATATTTCAACCCAATATCTACCGTTCTTTTTATCATAATTGATTTATTCTATTTCATTGATTTATCATAATTGATTTATTCTATATCATTGATTTATCATAATTGATTTGTTAGCTAATTATGATAATTATATCAGCCCAATTTCAGCTTTGTTTAGAATCACCAAGATTAGCTTCAAAATTGGTTGCTAATTATGAAAATATGAAAGATCTAATTAATAGCGAAAATATACATAGACATGGAGAGATTGTTGGCGACTTCATTGGTAAATTCCTTTTATAAAAAAAATTATATTTAAGGCTTAAAAAAATAAGGAAAAATAGTCAGTACTTAAAAAATTTCCTCGTTGACTTGATTTAATTTCTATATAATAAATTAAAAAATTCGAATCCGATTCGAATTTTTTGTTGGAAAGTTAATTGTTAACGAAAATAAGGGTAAGTTGGAACTTTCCAGATTTTTTTCGAATAACAGGTTTATTCCTATTGAGAACATGATTCGGAGTTTTGCCTCTCAATCCATAATCATCCACTTGGCTATCCTACGCTCTATATAAGGGTGAAATTTATGATGCGAGATCAGTTGCGAACACATCAAAAACAATCCAATCCAAGAAATGTTGCTTGAAAGTCTAAGAAAAAAGGTTCTTCAAAATCTTTTCAAAAAATATCCATCCGCTTTTTTTAGAAGAAATGATAGTTTCAATGCGCGATAAATCGACAGTTATGCAAGTGCGATGTCGTGATGCTGGATTTCATCACAAAAAAGCAAAAGTTGCATTCACGTCTAATCAATGGAAATTAATGCGTGATATATTAATAAGAAATATGGTTGCAAATACATTTTCGTAAGAAATTAATAATTATTAATAGGAATTATGCAATATGCATGGATTCATTCACTTGCATCATAAAAAAAGAAGAAAATAAAATAAAAATAAATAAAATAAAAATTTGATAGATATCAAATCTAGAAAATTTAGGAAAAATGAGTCCTATTTTGAATAAAATTTTTTCCTCCTCTAATAGCTCTCAGAATTTTTGGTTTTGCTGGCTGTATTCATTGACTGCTATAAAATCTTTTCGCCAAAGAATCAAGTGAGAATATTTTTGGGTCACCATCACTGCATTATCACTGTTAATTTTGATGACATACTTCAGTCAATAGATGATAACCAAGCTTATGGCTATAACTTGGCCAAAACAACTACTCGGCCACCCCTTTTCTCCAAAAAGAGTGTATGATAATTATAGGCAAATATTTTTGGCATTTTTAAAAAATTTTTCAATCTTTATATATTTTCTTGTAATCCATATTTTTTAGATCAAATTCATCTCCAGGAAACGATTCAATTTTGAATAAATCTATAATAAAAATTTCTAATATCATTATTGGCGAGATGAGACGAGGAGCTTTATGTGCATCCGTCGATAATGAACAAATGGTAAACATCGTTATCTTTATATTTTTATCATTTCAAATATGGATTACAAATTATCATTTCAAAATGATAAATGAGCTTGACGGTTCTGTTCTGCGGCACAGCGACAAGTCACTTGAAAAAACGACGCTGACGAAACAATACATATATTTCGATAAATGAAAAAACAAAGCAAGCAAAATTCCAACAATGATAAATAGAAAGCTAACTATTTTATGTGATGGTCACATTTTTAATTTTATACCATAATAATATTAGATAATTGAAAAAAATTGCTCTTGATAAGATAAAAATTTATTTACTGAAATTATAAAAATATATTTATTGCAAGTTGCCAATTCTACGTAAAAACTTTAGTTTATCTCTTTAATTCAAAAGCTAATCAAAGATGGGCTAACTCGTCTCATCTGGAATTACAAAGTATAGAATTAGGAAGATGGACAAAAAACTGATTTGCTTACGAAAAAATTTTTCACCATAGTGCGAGGAATAGCACTGACTATTTGTTAATTCATCGCCCCCTTTAAAATCCTAGTTTTAGCCTTCTGGAGACAGAGGTCATGCGAATATTGGTGGTTCTCTAACAGCATTCCCCTCTCTCCATAAATCCTCTGCACTTGTAATATCTGCATCTCCACTTCAGCACACCAGTAGTCTCACGAAATCTTTTGCATTCATATTTTTCGAACAACAAGATGGCGTTTCCTTTCTGAATGAACGAAAATCTCATGGAAAAAATACAAAGGGAAATGCTAAAGCAAAGGATGGATGTTTTCCTTACAAAAAGCTACAGAAATGAATATTCTGAAAAATATGCTTAATTAAATTCGAAGCCAACTCTATTAAAGCAACATAGATCATAGATGAACCGTTTATCATTGAGTATGTATATAAATATATATATATATGTCGTTATCATGCCGTTTATTCGGGCCATGGTATCTTCGTCTCTTGTCTTTTCTATCGTTTGTTTCATAATAGATTCCAAGTTAGAAGAGTTAAAAGGACTATAGATCAGCATTCCTTAAAAAAATTAATTTTATTTCATACCGCGAGATTCGCCATTAAAATAGAAACAGCCAAATCAACACTTTTTAAACTCGACAGTTGTGGTGGTTGATGGATGAGATAATGGTACATTTATATCAAGAGTTGTTATCGTTTAAAAGTCCAAAATCCAGTAGGATCTCACAAACTTAAAGGATTTGTATGAATAATGGATGATGCATTGTTATATGACCAAAACAGTAAATATATACACATTTACAGATGAAGTACGATTCAAGTTCAAAATGTTTCGGTATACTGAAAGTCCATAAACTTCGAGATCTCAACCAACTGACAATAGGAACTCATTCGTAAAACTTCTAGAAATTCATAGCTTTGAAAAATAATGCATGCTTCGAAATATAGTACAGATATTTCAGCTGAATAATTATTAGAATTTTTTAATATTATTACCGAAAATTATTAATTTATTTATCTATTCCATAATAGAAATATAACTCTCCTCATTTCTTGCAAGTGTATATAATTTTTGTATTTTCTATCGTAATTAAATATCAAAAACCAGCGTTTAATCCTCAATTACAAAGTATTCACAAAGTATAAATTAACCACACTGCCCAATACGCAAAAATGCTCAAATTAAATCTCACATGCTCAAATTAAATCACCGACCGATTTATTTTTTAATTTTCTAAATGTTAAACAATAAATATATTTTATTTTGTACGAAGAAGAGAATAGCCTAAAATAAAATGATAAATAAAATAAGTCTAAAATCAAATGAGAGAATGTATTAGCTGATTTTTGAAAAGCTAAAATACTCCGCAGAAAAAAATTTATTCCTTCGATTTTAATGAACGATTTTTTTGATTTTAATGAAAGGCAATTTTATTCTAACAGTGGGAAATATTCACTGCAACAATTTGATTTTTGAGAATCGCCTAATTGAAATGGCAAAGTTATTATTATTTGCAATCATATGGCTCTCAGAAGCCATTTATATTTATCTCCAAGTGCCACTCGGATGAAAATATCTCACTTTCGTTAATGAAGTCAGCCAAACTAGAAATTATGAATATATTGCATAAATAATGAACTATAAATATTAAAAAATAGTTTTGACTTAGTGAAAATTGGTTCAAGATCGATAGTCTACATCTAAATATATATTTAATCATGCCTCAAAACAATTTTAATTTTAAATAAATAACTGAATTAATAACGAGTAGTTTTTAGTAGTAATGACTGGAAAGCTCCTAATCCAGGATCCATTTTCAGAAAGAATGGATTCCATAAACTTTAAAATATAGTAACAAATGATATTTCACTATTGTAGCCAGCTGAGCCAGCTTCACTCATGGTGGTAGACGTTTTTATAATCGCCTCTCAGATTCTCAGATAATGAGGTTTGCCCTGAAAGGATCTTAAAGTTTCAAGGAGAAGTGGATAAAGGTCTGCGAGCATTTAATGCCATACAAGCAATCTTTCCAAACTATAGGTATGCTAACAATGTGAGAATTTTACTAGAATTTTACGAGAATTTTATGTGAGAATATGAAAAATGGTTGAGAGTTAATTAGAATACAATGTGAATAAAATAAAATACAAATAATAAAAGCAATATTACCAAATTTAATTAAAATTTTTCATCACATTTCGATAATAATTTGCACGTTTCATTATTATTTCTTCCTCATATTTATTTGATATTTTTGTAATTGCCTGTAGTAAAATAAATATGTCAACCAAGAATGAAAAAGAGATCGATGATTGGTTATATAGAAACCAGATCCAAATATTTAAGAGCTCCAATCTGTGAGCTTGAAAAATCCACAAGAAAGTCCACAAAAATCCACTTTTTGCCTTGTCGCAAAGGTGACGAAATTAATTTTCTACACCAAATCGACCCAAAAACTGTCTCAGTTATAGTTTTAAACCTAAATTAATCACATTTAGTCCAAATGGATCTAAAAGTCATTGTAAATTACAAAAATTTTTATTTTCAATTTTAAATTTTCATTTCTAGTAGATCCTTAGTTCATCTCATATAAATTTTTTAAATGGTCAATACATCTGTGGACTTTGAGACCCCTAAATCAATAGCGACAAACGAGGAGAATAGAATATATTCACGATGTAATAATACCCTAAGATAAATTTCAATAGCAATCGTATTCTTGGATGAAATCAAATTTGCATTTTTCCTTGTAATTTCCTTGTAATTGTAATGTTTGTTCAGCAAATTTAGTTTATCAAATCTGATTTTTTAAAAAGAGTACTCACCATTGCTAGTTGCAATGACTCCTTTTTAATAATTTTATTACCTAATGCCGACGACTGCAGCGAGAATTGGACTCAGGACTTAATGTAAATGAGAAAGAAAGTCTTTCCCTTTATTTGCAAGAAGCTGATAAAATACTTATTTCTATCAATTCTTTACCAGTTCTTTATCTTCAATTTTTAAATTCTTTACCTTTACCGGTTAAGGAAATGCCAGACTTTAAATACCTTCGATCCATTTTAACCCTAAACGGCCAAGCGAAAAGCGAAATTACAACCCTGATAACGACAGCTAGAAATTTGTTTTTCCGACTGCTGAAACTTTTATGGAACCGTCGTGAAATCACTATAGAGACAAAAATCCGACTCCATATACCAGCAATTCGCTCGACCTTACTATATAGTTGCGAAACATGACCAGTGAGAGCGGAGGAGAAGTTACCTGTCAACTAATGGTGTCTAGAGTATATTTTTCCGGTTCGCCGAATGAATAAAACCTCATATGATAGCATTCACCCTCACTCAAATACATTTGTAGTACCATTACACAAAGTCATCATAGAGCACGTTCTTCGTCGCCCATCAAGTATTTCGTTAACTGCTAAACTTTGCGACGTTTGGCGTCAAAAACGAGGTGGTCGAATTAAGTCAGGAAAGATTTTGAAAGTATAGGTGGACCAGATATATGGACTTAGATAATGGAAAATAGACTGGTTACTTTAAGGAAATCTGACAAAATGGAAGAAAGGGGTCAGGCAGGCCACGAGTACTTAAGATTCGACTTAAAGATAAGTACATGGCTATGTTTGGTTATAGCGTAATAAGAACGTGAGTTCGATTGTTCTCCATGGAAGTTTTTTGAGGAAGGATCCAACAAAAAGAGAACTATTACTAGACAAACAGTTGCGTGAAGAATGTTATGTGCGGAATCAGAATCTCAATCTAAAGAAGTACGTTGTCAGAAATCTTCAAATTGTGGAATTAAGGCAGCCTCGCCAATGGTTTACAACGATGAACAATTTTTTTATTCCAATTTCCTCCTATCAATCTACCACAACTTAGGATAACTTGCCAAGTAAAGAACAAAATAGGAAGTAATTTATTTTTATATATTTAATGTATATATATTTAATGCAAGAAGTTTAAAATATAAGCTTTATGACTTACAACTCCTATTAATTGATAACCCAAATAGTATTTTTTGTATTAATGAAATGTAGTTGGATAACTCTACTGATAATCGAGAATTAAATTTTGATGGCTTTCTAGTGTCACGCAAGGATAGAACAATAAATAGTTTAAAACTCGTGGAGGTGGGCTTATCACGCTTATTTCTGATTATTATAAATTTCTAACTCTTAATGATTACGTTTGTTTCTCATTTGAATCTCTAATAACTAAAATTTATCTTAATAAATAATAGAAACATTTTCCTTTTGAATATATACCACCCACCTGGCTATGGAAATAAATTCACTAGGGATCTTTACAACCTATTATTTAGATTAAAATATTTGGTACCGATTATGTAATTATTGGTGATCTCAATATGTCAAATATAGATTGGGAAAATAATTGCTTGAAAATTTGAAGCAGCAAATTTGAAGAGGACTTTCTAAACCTTTGAACCTATATAGGTCTAGAGCAACATATTAAAATTGCCACTAGGCATAACACTATTTTACATGTTGTGTTAGCTGCTTCTACTTCTTTTATTGATAACATTAGAGTCTTGGAGCCTTTTTATAATATTAATCACAACATCATTCATGCTTTATTAAAATTAGATCGTTATATACTTCCCTCGAGATATTATAGAAATTATCGTCACTGTGATTATGAAATCTTTAATTCTATCCTCGCAGAAATAAACT